TATATATAATATATATTAATATATTATATATATAATATATATTATATATTATTTTATATTATTAATATATCATATATTATATAATATATTATATAATATATTATATAATATAATATATATATATAATGTATATATATATAATTCAGGTATTAGTGGCAAAATAGTAATTTCTGTGAGTTTATGGCCAAAAAAATGGAGAAAAAGCCGCACCACACGCGCGTGAAGTGCACTTCCGTCAAGTTAGACGGTTTAGGGGATAACGCACAATCAAAAGTATAATACAAGGGGGTATGGCGCAATTTTTAAAATACAGGGGATAACGCGCAGATTTCGTATAATACAGGGGGGTTTGGCGCAATTTACCCTATCTTTTTACTTTTAGTGCTCAATTCTCAACTTCGTTAAAGTTCGCCGGAGCTCGTAAATCTGGTGTGCTACAGATTTAGAGACGTTTGCCGTTGTATCTTTGGGGAAGTTACGTCTGAACCGTTAGCTGCCACACGGGGCGTATTCTTCTTGCGGAAAGAGTTTTACTCGCCTCGGCTAAAATCTTTCCGCTTTTCAGTTGTATTTTATTTTTCAGTTCAATTGTAATTTTCTATTTTTAGATTATTTGTAAGAACTGAAAATACATATCAGTTCGTAAGATTCCCGTGTAATTTTGACACCAAATATCCAACAATGCGTCACTTTGACACATGATAGGGCCATTTTTTGAGTGCTTTCAGGAAAAAATTAAGTTTGATATGGGGTTAGTGACTTTTGATGCGGTTCTTTAGTTTGTTGGTGTCTCGAAACCCCACAAGCTCCTGCATTTTCAATGTGTAACTAATGGAATTCTTTCGGCTGCGGTTGTTAAAGCTAGAACCCCGTGTAGGCGATGAACTTACAAAGAGGTGTTGACTTGATACTATTTTCTATTATTATAATTTATTATGAATATATGGGGTAACAATTTACTGATTTTTCAGGAAAAATAATTCTCTGATTGGAGTTAGACGTACTCAAGAGCGGACTTACCATCCCTGAAAGATAAGGTTACTTTCCATGCAAGGCGAAAAACGAGGCATATGCGGCGATTGACAAGAACTTACCATATATCAGAGAACGACATGTGCAAGATAATGTGAAGAACCTGTACGAAAAATAGCGCATGATTATTTATGGGAAGCATTTGAAGAATGAACTTACCATACGGATTGCACTATAACGAGTTGTCAACTTAGTAAAATTAGCTCCCGAATATATGATTTTTGGTAGTGAGTGTGCGAGAGTGAATAGTGTACGAGTACTCTCTGCTTCGTTCTATTTGACAGAGTGAGTGTTCAAATTAGAGGTTGTCCTCAGATTTGATCTGTATACTTGGATCAATTTTCCAAGTGTTTGGGACAAGTATCTTTCGATTGCACGAAGGGATCCGTGTTGAGTTTAAACCCACTAGGAGTGGCCGAAAAGTTAGTTAGACAAGTGTATACGACAGTAGGTTAGGAAAAGAGAGTCTTTACTGTAAATCCTAGTTGTATTTGTCGAACACTAATTATTTGAATGAAAGAATTTTAAGGGAGAGTGTGATGCTCTCATGAAGGTTCATTTTTTGTATGAACTGCTTCTGCAACTGACTGAATGTTCATCGTTTATTGTTTGAACACAATTATGTATCTCCACAAAATTTCACATTACTTATAGTATACAAAAAAATTAAATAAATTATGTCCCGTAGTTGGTTAGTGAAAACATGATAACTAATGCTCATAACGGAATATAGTTTGTTACTGGCACTAATGTTGTTTCTTTCTGCAACAAGCAATCCATTTTTAACAGCTGAGAAATTTCAACCAAATCAATGACGAGTATCGACGACGAAAGAATCAAAATATGTTTCCATAACTCCTTATATCATTATGGTTTGTTAATAAAACCAAATCAGAATAGGTATTTTTTGCTTGATATGGACCTGAATGAATAATAAGTACAATTGAATGGATAAAATGTACTTTTTTTCTTTCTTTCTATCATCTCATATCCAAAGTCCCTATTAGTGTGTTTCCTCATTTGGGGTCCTTGAGGATCCTTCATTATTCCGAAGGTCCTCAATCTGTTTACGGATTCGCACGAGCTCCTTCGTTTCTTCTTCAATTTGAGATCTTAACCTCATCTCGACTCCTAACGGCCCATGAACTGGGTTTTCTGCTCGTATTCTTGCTTCTATTAACAGAGTTTCGGCAGTTGTATCCTTGTCCTCCTCCTCAACGGAGTTAATTATTTTCATGGCCGTGCTTACTCCAAAAAGTGAGTGCACATATTGGAAATCTTCAAATCTTTCGGAAGGAAAGTATTTCGCGTAAACACAACCTTCCTCACACCTCCTGCGCTGGTGCCTGCACACAGAGCAAGTTGCACGAGCCATTTGATATTCGTTACCATTATTCATTATCTTCGGAAAAAATTTTTGTTCTTTTCTTTCACTTTGATATACAATGTAAGTTTATATGTCATGCTTTCAAACCATAGGACCATGTAAGGATATATAGTGAAGCTTCAAGGCTATAAAATGCAATCTATAGTGAAGCAAATTGTTACAACTCAACTACATCAAATTTATGTTATAAAGATGCATTTCTGCAGCAGATTATTTGAAACCCAGACTTTGTTGTGGAAGTTTTAGGAATGTAATCTTAATTTTGTTGGATTGAATAATCATAAAAATATCTAGTTTTATCCTATGGATACCAAAAATGGAATACTAGATTGTGTAGTATAATGGTTTTTAATAGACAAAATTGCATATTAACACAATCTTTCATGTTTTTGTAATTTAATCACAACTTTTACAATTTTGCAAATTAATACACCACTTTTACCATTTTTGCAAATCGATACATGAATGACGTTTCTATTAACGAAAATCTGACATGGCATTGAGCCACGTCAATGCCATGACAAATTTTCGTTATATCTTTTTAACGGAACAGTCATTCATGTATCGATTTCCTAAAATGGTAAAGGTGGTGCATTAATTTACAAAGTTGTAAAAACGGTGATTAAAATACAAAAACATGAAAGGTAGTGCATTGATATGAAATTTTGGCTTTTTAATATAATTCTTGCATCATAGAACATTTTATATAAAAGTGGGGGAAAATGGAATTATAATATGTATTGCATGTTTTTGGCTTTGAAAGAAAAAAAAAAATAATTTTGTATTACTATCATTTGCTATTTTCAGTTTTTGCCAATTAACTTTTAAGGATTGTAATTTGATACAATAATTTCATTCATTTCTTATTTGTGGAGTACTATCAATTTTGTACAATAATTTTATTTTGTGGAAGATTTCACTCAATTGTCATTTTATAACATATATCAAATCGAAGCTCTTGATCTGATATATCCAACTTGTCTTTTCGATTTCATCAATATTTAGCACCTTCTGAAGGTCGCTAACGTAGCCTATAAATACACCATGTCTTGAACTCTTCTCCCAACATATAAGACATACGATCGGTTTAAGGATACGGAAAAAGGAAATCGAGTGTTCTATACATTAAGAGTTCGAGAGATTCAAAAATCCCCCACCTAGATTTTCCGGAATAGGTGTTTAGGTAATAACATTAGAAGGTCTTGAGGTTAGATAATTCGAGCCTTTTATGTATACAATATTTCAGCCATTCTCAGCCGCCAACCGCCGTCGTGAGTTTCACTGGAAATCACCTCAGCTGCCCGCCGCCGGCGGAAGCCGCCACGCCCCACCAGGCAGCCCCTGCTCGCAGCCGTGCGCAGCCCGACTCTGCTTCCTTCTCCCATGCACCGTCTGCCTTGCCATGCAGCCACCGTCCAACCTTGTCGCGTGCGCTCGTACGTATGGTCGATCGTCTGTGCGTGATCTCAGCTCTACGTCCCTCGTCCGCACTCAATCCTTCTCGGCCTAGGCAAGCCACCCACGCACGTAGTCGCCCTGCCGCGCCTATCCACCTGTCTGTATCACCGCGTGATCCCAGTCGCCTGAGACCTTCGCTCGCATCCCGGTCCTCGAAGGAATGTGAGTCCTGCGACCGCACGCGTTCGAAGCCCTCGCGCACCCCCTGCGCACAATAGTGCACGACGTACCACGCCCGTTAGCCAGCCACAGCCAGACGATGTTATCCATCTACGAGCGCCTGTTAGTGCCAGTCCGCGAGTCAGCCCAACAAGTAGACTATCGAGGCCAGCCCGACGCGCAGTCCGACCTCGGCCATGCACCGCAGCGACTCGACCAATGCCAGCAGCCACGACCCGACCGAGCCCAACCGTGTCCAACGAGCCAAGTTCCCGACAAACCAACTGTGTCCCGACGACCTGAATCTGACCGAGAAGGCCTAGTTCGGCTACCCAACTGACTCTGCGGTTCAGACGATCTCCTACAGAGAAAATCATAAACGTCTCAGAGTCGACAAAAAATTTAAACTGTAACTCCTAATCCTAACTATAGATTCCGCTGCGTCAGGATTTATTAATCAATATACTTGAATGTGCACATTGCTGGCGTTCCTAACAGAACCCAACAAAGTCATACTGAAACGGATTTAATTTTTCTACTTTGCTATAGGACGCACTGATGTTGCAACAGGAAGGTACAGGTTGGGAATGGGATCTACAATTTGTACAGGTAAAGTTGCAACATGGAAGTATACTTTGAGGGGGTAGGACTCTTAACTATGAGTTATGGAAAATCCTGAAGAGCTCTGGAAACCTGAAGTCCTCTTTGATCGTTCGAGCTCGTCCCATCCAATGTCAACCTCAGGTTCATCGACTAACCCTCTAGAAGGGCCAAGTCGGTCAGCTAAAACCAGCTCATGGCTGGTTATTTCTATTAACGTCGACCCACGGTGCTCATCAATCAGTTTATCCAGAGAGTCGCTTGGACTTGACTTTAATGAATCTATAAACAGCTCGACATGAAGAGTGTAGATCGCGATTAAAGACAAAATTTTAAGGAAATCTAAAGCTCGAGGTCGACATAATTCAAGAAAACATGACCCAATGGAACACATAAAACACATAAATAGGACATGACTTCAGATCAAACAAAAAAATAAATAAATAAATAAATAAAAGAGATGAGAAGAAGAGAAAAGAAGATAAAACGGAAGATGCAGTAATAAGGAAACAAGAATATAGATGAACAAAGAAAGAAAAAACAAGAACACAAATTGAAGAAATGGCATACTCATCATTATTTGGAGATGGCGAAAAGAATCTGGCAAAGAGCAATTACCGGAGTTGAAGAACAAATATTGGGATTGAAGATCGCATGCCAGGGATTGAGCACGGTGGCTGTAGGTGTTCGAGAGAATGAGAGAGAGAATTCTAGGAGAGAAAAAGTGTTTTCTAGAAAAAAAAAAGACATACTTATACTTGGGAGGAAGGGTTATAGGCCCTTGGATTGCGAGCAGATCAGCGGTCCAGATCTCGCACAGAAATCGAAGGTGTGTGGTACGAGACGACAAAACGTCCCTTAACTTTTGCATTTATGATGACTGACATGTCAAAAACGCCTTTCCATATTTTGACCATTGACCCTAATCCGTAGCTCGAGGTCACATGGAGTAGGTTTGGAGGGGTACTACTGATATACCATAGTTTGGCGAAACCCGACCGGCGCTAAGTAATCCAAGTAAACCCGACTGGCTGGCAAGTTGGCAGGCGGCAGCCCAGGCAGCCAAATCTTAAGCACCAAGGTATTCAACTATAAAAGGGGGTTGAGGTATATCTGCAACATTCTCTACACATTCCATACTATTGTTTAATCACAGAGCACTTATCATTTACTTCCCCTGATCTGATTTGAGCGTCGAAGTGCTCACTTTGAGAACCTCTGGAGCACTTGTTTTGCATGTCATCAACATCTCAGGAACGATCGTGATTTCTCTTAGCCGGTTCAATGTATCTATAGCTCCGGCACATCAGGGCGATTTAACTATTGTTGAGTCGACCCATTATATTTTGTTAACAAAGATACATATTTATACAATAGACTATCATATTTTTATTTATGTTGTTTTTTAAAATATGATAAATTTAATTTAGTGGTATTATAACTTTTATTTTAATAGTATTATATCAATTAAAAAAATATATGTCTAATGATTAGAAATGTCCAACAGTGTGCAATATTATTTCCTAATATACCGACCTCAAGTATAATGGGTCGAGCACATTTTTTCTTAAAAGAATTAAAATAATAATTATCAAAAAAAAAAACATATAGATCCCAAATATAATGAGTCATGCAGATTTTTGAAAATAAAGAGAAGACAAGTGGACAACGCGACAAAATATAGGGAATTGGGCACAGATATCTGATACATATCCACCTCAATTTATTTATTTATTTATTTTTTTTTTTTTTTGGTGCAAGAAAAAGAAACTACACTAAAATCGACCGAGAATAGAATACGCCGACAATATCATGATGTAACCAAACACTCGCATGAAGGACTACAGCTTAAATCCATTGCTGAGAAGGGAAGGGGAAAAATATCTTCTCGCAAGGCGGGCACTAATGACCGACATACCCTTCTGTAATCCAATAATTATATATGCCTAGTCGATAGAGGGGCATAATCGTCAAATTACCGTCACCTGCCCGTCCCTCTACTGACCATCTCTCTGTACCTCACAATGGAGTCCAGCCTCTGCAGCTTCAGCTGCTGCCTGAACCTGTTTATGAAATCATCCGCCTTCGCATCCACCGCCTCATCTCCGCCGTGCTCCGCCGCCCCCTTCTCCCTCGTCGTCGCCGGCCTCCGCTGCTCCTCCGCCTCCTCTTCCCCCTTCGCCACCCCCTTCTCGCTCGCCGACTTCTTCAGAACCCGGGTCTCAGCCCCGGTCAGCACGCGATCGGGCTCTTGCTGGTGGGCCGGATGTTCGGGCTCTTGTTCATGGGCTAGGTACCTGGAGAGTTTAATGGACTTGACCTGCTCAAGAAAGGACGGGTTGCGGACCATCTGGGCCGGGATTTCGGGCTCCTGCTGATGGGCCGGGTGGTGTCGGGGCTGCTCGGGCTGGTTCCCGGAGAAGTTGATAGACTTGACCCGTTCAAGAAAGGATGGGATTCGGGTCATCTGGGCTGGGATTTCGGGCTCCTGTTCACGGCCCGGGTGGTACTTGGAGAGGTTGATAGACTTGACCCGTTGGAGAAAGGACGGGGCTCGGGTCATTTGGGCTGGGATATCGGGCTCTTTTTCACGGGCCGGGTAGCTGGAGAGGTTAAAAGATTTGACCCGTTCGAAAACGGATGGAGTCCGGGCCGGGTGGTCATCCTGGATATGATCATTGTGATATTTATGAGGCTTGAGGGTAGATGTAATGAAAATGGTACCGATCACGAGGTTCACTATGCAGAAAAGTACGGTGGGATCTGGGATCAGTGAGCCACGCGGTCACGGTTTC